AAGTATTGCCCAAAAAGTCAGGGATTTCTTGATTAAATTCCAAACCCTAGTTTTGATCCTTGGTGCTAAGAGATGGTAAGATACATGCCATTGTGCCATTACCTACAAGATGACATTCAAAGAGACATCTATACATATTTTAATGTTAGTCAAGAGAATACATGTACAAGATACACAATTTAAGATGCTCGGTGATCCCTCATGAACAAACCTAAAGATAGGATGAAGTAGTAGAAGTACCCAAACCCCTAATGTGTGATATTGTGATGGTATGAGATGATAGAGGAATCTTAGGGGAAAAAATGGGGTACAAATAGTATGAATCGGAGAATTTTTAATGGTGGGTTATAACAGATTCTTGATTTATTTTTGTTACATTGATTTGTGTTAAATTATAATAGTTATAAGATTTAAGTGTTATATAGCTTGGTTCTGATATTCATTTGTTGGTTTTGTTTCAAGTAGGTGCATATGTAGATGATATAGAGATAACAAGTTCATTCAGGATTCTTCATTGTTGTTGTTTATAGAGAAGATAATAGAGAAGATAGCAGCTTTAGAAGATGGTAATATGTACATTTGGTGCATACTTATTGGATTATAAAGCTGTATATATAAATATGTAAATTTATGTATATATAAATTATTGAATTCTTCAAGGTGTATCCCATTTATGTATATAAAATTATTGGAATAAAGTTGTATATATAAATATGTCAATTTGGTGCATACTTATTGGATTGAAGTTGAAAATTTATGAAATATGGTGCAAATTTGAAAGACAGCGCTTAAATTTTAAGTGATTATTTGTACAGGGCGCTTAAAATATATGTTGTATATATTAAAAAATCCGTGAATATTAGACAGTGCTTTAAACAAAAAGGTGTTGCCTATATTGGGGAATAGAAAGCGCTTTTAAAGAAAGCGTTGTCTAAAGGGGTGCATACAAAAGCGCTGCCTAAAAGGGACTTTAGAAAGCGCTTTTAAAGAAAGCGCCGCCTAAAACAAAAAAAAAAGTGAAAAAAAAAAACATTACACAGTACTTTTAAAAGCGCGACCTAAAGTGAAAGCGTTGCTATAGGCACACTTTAGAAAGCCCTTCTAATGTAAAAATCGCTGCCTATAGGGGCCTTTAGAAAGCGCTTATTGAATAAATCATTGTCTAAAGACTACATTAAGTAGCACTTTTACATAGATAAAAAGGGATGTTTTTACTTACAACAACGTAAGAATAGGTAACACTTTTAAGCACTGTCCATGGCAAAAAGGCGTTGTCTATTCCCTTATATAACGTAGTGTTTGTGAGATACACACTACTTATCCACCTAAAACTTTAAGGTGATACGTGATTGGGTTCTCCCCCCCGAAGTGTGAGTCTTTATTGAACCAGGATGTTAAATTTTAGGAGTTTAAATATCACTTCTCTAATTAAAGTTCTATATTTTAAAAATTAATTATCTGAGATTCAGTAATTATTATTAATAACATTGACATTATTGATATAATAAGTGTTTATAATGGAAAAATGAGAGAAAGTGAGAGAGACAAGAGGTGATTGGACCTACGTGAGCTACAAGAGAAGGAAAGGACATGGACAAATAGACAAAAAGAGAGACGAATACGAGGATAATACTACGTGCTACTTCACAAATGTTCCAGAGGGTGTCAGCTTGTCAGAGATGAAAGTAAAATTTTCAAAGATTGGAGAACTGATGGATGTATTCGTACCTAGAAAGAAAAACAAGGAGGGAAAATCATTCGGTTTTGCAAGATTTGCAAGGGTGACAAACGAAAGGAGATTAGTAGAAAAGTTAAGGAATATATGGTTTGGCACATACAAAGTATGGGCTAATGTATCAAGATTTTACCGAGAATGAAGAAATCCAAGAGAAAAAGAAAGGAAGATTAGAGATGAAAGGAAATATCAAATGAATAGTAATAGTAGATAAGTTGGACGAAGGACGGATAATACACAATCAAATGGAGGTATTGCTCTTATAAGATGAGTTACGCACAGGCAGTGCAAAATCAAAGTGGGGATAACAGGGATAAGCAACAGATGATGAATAATGTACTAGATGAAGGCTGGAAGGGACTTTGCTATAACGCAAAATAAGAGTACGTTAATTGGGAAAAAAGGGGTTTGTGGGATTCGTTCGTAAACTAGACGAGGTTTCGATGCTTCAACAAAAAATAATGGATGTAGGGATTCTCTCTTTAGAGGTGATTCCAATGGGAGGGAACAAAGTGTTCATTAAAGTACAAGAAGAGGAAGATTTCCATGATTTGGTTAAGGAAGCAGAGGAGTTTTTCCAACACTAGTTCACAATAGTAAAGGAGTGGTATCCAGATGCAATCATGAATGAAAGAGTTACTTGGATTAAAATATACGGTGTTCCGATACATGCATGAAATCAGAAGTTCTTTGAGAAACTAATCATTAGCAAAGGGAGTCTAATATGTTGGAAATCCACCAATACTTTATGATGAATTTCGACCACCACTGATGATTAGTTATGACAAACAAATAAAAGAACACTAGAAATATTTCTGCAGAATTTCTATTCTGCCCACAAACTGTGGAATCTTTATTAATTCACTTTGCAACTGCAAAATACTGTGAATGACTTGATTACAAAATAGGGGTTACTCCCTCTATTTATAGATTTAGGTTAGCTTGCTCCCTAAGCTAAACCCAAGCCCAAAATATCTCTTTACTAAATCAAATCTAATCTAGATTTAAATTCAAATCTATTTAAATCTAAACAAATCAAATCTTCTTTTGACACATATGAATTACAATTTAACACACCACCTAATTCATTGTGTCTAAACTGTCTATGTTCATCATGGCCCTTAGCTTTCTGAATACTTCGACTTGCACTCCCTTCGTCATGATGTCTGCAATCTGATTCTCAATTCTGCAGTGTTCCAAATTCATCTTCCCATCTACTACCTGCTCTCGAAGATAATGGAATCTCATTTCGATGTGCTTACTTCGACCATGTGCTATTGGGTTCTTTGCCAGATTAATAGCTGACATGCTGTCTATCTTCATGGTAATTGCTCCATGATTTTTCCCTGTTATCTCTTCGACCAAGCTCATCATCCATTCATCTCTGCTAGCTGCAGTCGAAAGGCACTTGTGCTCCATCACATTTAGTTCAATCTTGAAGGTTCAATTCTGAGACATAGGAGCCTTCAAGATTACTCTCCCATTTGTATCACCGACTCTCATCAACTTATCTTCGATTGACACTTTATAATTCTTTTCGACCAACTGCCCTATACTGAGCAAATTGCTCTTCATGCCTGGTATGTACAACACATTGGAGATTACTGACCTTTTGCCATCTTTCCTCATAATCATAACATCACTAATACCTTCAGCTGCCAGGGTATTGTCATTTGCAAATTTTACCATATTTTTCTTTGAGGGCTTTATATTGACAAACCAGTCTTTCCTTCCAGACATATGTGATGAACATCCTGAATCCAAGTACCATTGGTCCTTGAATCTATCTTCATCTCTTGTTGTGACCATCAGCATCATCTCTTCTTCTTCTTCATGTTTTGCAAGCTTTGTATCACTTTCTTGATTCTTTCGTTTTTCTGGACAATCACTCGAATAGTGTCCATATTTCTGACAATTGTAACATTGAATGTGACTTTTATCAGGTTTTCGACCACCACCTCTTCCTCTGTTTGCACCACCACCTCTTTGGTTGCCTTGGTGTGGTCTTCTTTGATTCGACACGTCTCCTTCGATTTGGTTTCCTCTACCATTCGATTTGTTGTATCCACCTCTACTTCTGTCGAAATACTTTCCTTTGCCTTTGGTCTCTTTTGCTGAATGTGCCTGTAAGGCCACATCACTCTTCGATTTTCCTGCAGCTCTTTCGTTCATTCTTTGTTCATGAGATTCGAGCGTCCCTTGAAGCTCTTCCTTTGTCAATTTCGACAAGTCTTTCCCCTCTTCGATCGCCACCACTATGTGGTCGAACTTAGGAGCTAAAGAACTCAAGATCTTCGAAACAACAACTCTTGTTGTTAATGTTTCTCCACATGCCTTGATTTGATTCACTAGTTTTGTAACTCTAGTGAAGAAATCAGATATATTTTCACTGTCTTCCATCTGAAGCAGTTCATAGGTCCTTTTGTGAGTTTGTAACCTCACTTCTTTCACCTTCTCAGCGCCTCCAAAAGACTTCTCAAAGATCTCCCAAGCTTCTTTTGCAGATTCTGAATCACTAATCTTTTCGAAATTGTCTGGGCTGACACATTGATGAATTATAAATAATGCTTTATAACTCTGCTTCTCAGATTCTGTATATTTCTTCTTTTCTTCTTCTGAAGCGTTTTCGCCAAGCGCTTCGACTCCATCTTTTACAAGGTCCCAAAGGCCTTGACACCTTAATAGGACTTTCATCTGTTTGCACCAATTCTCATAGTTGCCAACTTTCAGAATTGGCAGCGTTGCTGGATAGTTTACATTCCCATAACTTGTCATCGTGAATTCTTCAATCGTTCTTGATTGATACTTCCCTTGAATCGTAACACAAGCTCTTGATACCAGATGTTGGAAATCCACCAATACTTTATGATGAATTTCGACCACCACTGATGATTAGTTATGACAAACAAATAAAAGAACACTAGAAATATTTCTGCAGAATTTCTATTCTGCCCACAAACTGTGGAATCTTTATTAATTTACTTTGCAACTGCAAAATACTGTGAATGACTTGATTATAAAATAGGGGTTACTCCCTCTATTTATAGATTTAGGTTAGCTTGCTCCGTAAACTAAACCCAAGCCCAAAATATCTCTTTACTAAATCAAATCTAATCTAGATTTAAATTCAAATCTATTTAAATCTAAACAAATCAAATCTTCTTTTGACACATATGAATTACAATTTAACATAATATCGGTGGACATTGCAACAGAGAAGAAGAGAAGGTTTGATTACGCAAGATGCCTCATAAGAACAACCTCAATGGAATCATTAAACGAGGTTGTACATGTCATGGTAAATGGCCATATCTACGACATAAAATTGGAAGAGGAAGCATTTAGTTTCCCAATAGAGATACAAATTGTGAATCAAGCTTATAATCAGAATTTTGAGGATGACGATCTTGAGGCGAAGATGGAGGAAGATCCATTAACCATGAGAGGGCTGGTGGAGGAAGATGATGCTGAAGTGGAATCGTTGGAAAAAATTATGACAAAATCATGAATATTAATGAGCCGCATATGGAAGGCTGTGATTTTCATATTCCTAATTTTTTGAGTGATGAGCTGAACACAGCTCAAGGTGGTGGATATACAATTAATAATATTGTGGAGTCCAACCAAAGTATTGATGAGAGTCAAAGTAGTGTTGGGACTCAGTCTTGTGTTAGGGCGAAAAATAGGGTCCAATTCATTAGGCTGCAACTAAAATTGTTAGCCCAAATGGAATTGATTAATAAGAAGAAGAAAAATAAAGGTGGTTATGCAGCCCAAAAGCCCAGGTTAGATAATAACTTGGGCCAGGTAGGTGGGAGTAAAGAAGTTGGATTGGGCGGCTGAAGTTGGGTCGGGTCCTGAAGGTTATCATCAAGGTGGCCTAGACTTAGTTCAAAATTATTTTGGGGTTGAGTCCAGCACTGGTGCTGAATACGGAAATGGTGAGGGAGGAAAATCTGAAAATGGTGCAGAATCGGTGAAGAACGCGGAAGCTAGAACGATATTAAATTCAGCTATCAAAGAGGAACCATCTATGTCGGAGATAAGGGTAGTAAAGAAATTGAAGGGTGTCGAGTCCAAAGAGAGGAGGAAAATTAGGAGATTGATCTTAATGGAGAAGAGAAAATTGAAAGTGAAGAGGAAAGCTAGAGGGAAAGGTCAACAAAAAAATCAGCCAACAGATAATTCGAAGGTAAAAATCTCTTTAAATGCTCATAGTGAAGTTAATATTGATGAATTAAAGTCATGGGGTTTAGTTCATGGAGGAGCTTCTGAAATCTCAAAGGGAGTGTAGGAATTTGGAAATAAAATTGGTGCCTCTAACATAGGGGAAGAAGGGGAGATTATGAAAAAAATATGTGAGAATGAAGCAAGAGATATTGCAGCGGCAGTAAAGATTAGGGGAGGGGATACTGTCACCAGGTGAAGGTGCCATCTTTGCGGGGAGGAGAGAATAAGGAGTTGAATGGTTAATATGAAGATTATAAGTTACAATATAAGAGGCTTGGGAGGGGCTATTAAAAAGAAAGAGGTGAATCAGGTGATAATTTCAAATAATCCAGACATGGTTGGCATTCAAGAAACTAAGTTAACAACAGTGGATAAGAGAATGTGTGAAAATTTGTGGGGTTCAAAGGATTATGACTATACGTTTAAGGCTGCTGAAGGGAGATCCGGGGGGCTCTTATTGTTGTGGAATTCAAAAGTTTTTGTAAAGTAGGCCGAGTTTGGAGGTGGATACTTCAGTGGTGTGGAAGGTTTGTGGGGTTCAGATGGTTTGCAAGTATTTATTGTGAATTTTTATGCTTCGTTCGACGCTGGATATAAAAGAAGATTGTGGGGTAATCTTAGTGATCTTATAAAATCAAATCGGGAGGCAGGGTGGTGTGTATTGGACGATTTTAATGCAATAAGATCAGAAGAGGAAAGAAGAGGAGTTGGAGTGTATACCAGAAGAGATGAACTAGCAGATTTTGATGAGTTTATTTCGGAAACAGAGCTAATAGATTTGTCTCTTAGAGGAAGATGCTTCACGTGGTCAAAACTCGACGGGTCTGCAGTGAGTTGGATTGATAGATTCTTACTATAGGAGAGTTGGTTACTTCAATGGCCAGCGTGTTCCCAATGGGGATTGAAGAAGGGAATGTCCAACCACTGCCCTATTATGATTAACAAGAAGTTTCAGAATTGGTGACCGAAGCCATTTCGATTATTTAACCATTGGAGAGAGATTCATGGTTATCATAAGTTTATAGATGAATCATGGAGGTCAATGGAAGTTCAAGGGTGGGGTGGGTATGTGCTAAAAGAGAAGATTAAATTGATCAAGAGAAGGATTAAAGAGTGGAGTGAAAATCAAGAGGGAAACTTGGAAAGGAAATTCGAAGAAGCTAAGAAGAAATTGAACGAGCTAGAGATCAAAAGCGAAGAGGCGGAATTATCTGCAGAGGAGATAGAATCCAAAAGAGAAGTGTTGGCTTAAATTTTCTCCTTATCTAGAATAAAGAACAGTATCATATGGCAGAAGTCTAGGATGAGGTGGCTTAAAGAAGAGGATGCTAATTCTAAATTCTTTCATCGGTGTGTGGTTAATAGAAGGAAGATCAATGAGATTTACATGTATAGAGACACATGACGCAAAGTTAACGAATGTTCAGGAGGTTAAACAAGGGATCCAAGATCATTTCTAAGAATTATATAACAATAGAATGATGGTGATACCCGTTATTAGAGATGTTGAGTTCAAATTGATAGATATGGCAGATAATGAGGCTTTGACGGTAGAGTTTAACATGGATAAGTTCAAAAGTGCAGTTTGGGATTGTCATAGCTCGAAGAGCCCCGAACCGAATGGTTTAAATTTTGCTTTATCAAGGAGTTTTGGGAAGTGATCAAAGAAGATTTTTTGAGATTCATTTCTGAATTCCACTCAAATAGGTGAATCGTTCGAGGGGATAATAGTACATTCATAACACTTATCCCAAAAGTTGAGAATCTGGTGAAGCTGAATGATTTCAGACTTATATCGTTAGTCGGCTGCATGTACAAAGTGCTCGCTAAACTTCTTGCAAATATGCTGAAAAAAGTGGTTGATAAGGTCATATCTGAGTCTCAATTTGCCTTCGTGGAGGGGCGTCAAATGCTTGTTTGTATCCTCATTGCAAACGAGATAGCTGATGATGCTAAAAGGAGAAGGAAATAAGTCATATTCTTCAAAGCAGAATTCGAAAAGGCGTACGATTCGATGGATTGGAAGTTTCTCGATGTCACGATGGAAAGAACGGGTTTCAATAGAAAACGGCGAGGCTGGATTTCTGAATGCTTACTGTCTTCTATGATATCAGTATTGGTACCTTTCCTCTTTTTGATGGTAGCAGAAGGATTTAATGTGATGATGGTTAAAAGCATACAGATGAAGATTTTTAACGAGTATGAGGTTGGTAGAGGCAAGGTGAATGTGTCCCAGATCCAATACGCTGACAATACTATAATTATAGGTAAGAAGAGTTTGGAAAAACATTTGGGCGATCAAGGAAAATCTATAACTTTTTAAGCTGATTTCAAGACTCAAAGTAAATTTCAATAAGAGCTCACTAATCGGAGTAAATATTCATCGCTCATGGTTGGAAGAGGCCGTTGTGGCTCTGAACTGCAGAGTCTGGACAACCCCTTTCAAATATCTTGGGCTTCCTGTAGGAGGTAATCATAGGAGAATGGGCTCGTGGAAGTCGGTGGTTGATACTGTGTGGCGTAGGCTGTCCTCGTGGAACAATAATAATCTTTCAATCGGTGGGCATATTATTCTATTGAAGTCAGTTTAATTTGCAATTCCTTCCTATTTCCTTTCCTTCTTCAAGGATCCGGCATGTATCGTTTACCAAATCGAATATCTTTTTAAAATTTTTCTTTAGGGTGGGGGAGTGGAAATGAGGAAAGTGAACTAGGTTAAGTGGGATGAGATATGTCGTGAGAAAGAGGAGGGAGAATTGGGGATTAAATATTTAAAGGCTTTTAATTTAGCACTATTAGAAAAGTGGAGATGGATATTTTTAAACGAAAAGGGCTCGCTGTAGGTCAGAATACTAGAGTCTAAGTATGAGGGATTTGGTCAAGAAGCGGATATGTTAGACAGACTTAAGTCGTTATGGTGGAAAGATATTCAATCTGTAGATATAGGGGAGGGAGGCTTCAAAGGTCAGTGGTTCAAGGAAAATGTTGTTAGAGAAATTGGAGATGGAGTGCATACTAGGTTTTGGGTCGATCCTTGGGTCGAAGGGAGAAGTTTAATGAAAGGATACATCGGTTTGTATAGCTTGGCTTTAGACAAATAAGTTTCCGTTAGAGATTCGTTTAGGAGGGAGGGAGAGGAGTTGGTGTGGATTGAGAGATGGGTGTCTAATTTAAACGAGGATAAACTTAGATTAAAGGAGGAAATTGTTGGCAAGATTCGAGACATAACTTTGAAGGAAAATGTGGATGATCGGTGGACATGGGCCAAAAAGACGTATACAGTGAAGGAAGCTTATGCAGAAATTGTGGAAGGGTCTCACTTGCTGAATAATGAAGATCAGGGGCTGGTGGTAGTCTGGAGCAGAATCATCCCGCTAAAAGTGTCGACATTAGTTTGGAGGGTGTGGCAAAACAAAATTCCGACGAGAGATAACTTAATAAAGAGAGAGATAGTGGCAGAATCACAAGGCTCCTGTCCATTTGGATGCAAAAATGAGGAAAGCGTGTCACACATTTTCTTTGAGTGCCCAATAGCAACTTCATCGTGGAGTGATATTTCGAGATGGCTGAATTTTTCTGGTGTTTTTCATAATTCTGCTGTGTAGAATTTTTATCATTTTGTAATGGTGGCAGGAGCGTTCAAGAAAAGATTCTCGTCATCTAGTACACATGTATCTGGATTAAATGGATAAGGCGGAACGACATTGTTTTCAAAAGTATCGAGAGACGGGGAGAAGCTTTTATCTATGACATTCAGTTATCGTCCTGGTGGTGGCTTAAGAGCAAGGTTACAGGATTCCAATTCACCTTTTACCAATGGATTTTTAATTCAAAAGTTTGCTTGGGTTGGAATGATGGATAATCAGTTCGCAGTAGTGTCTCTGGCGGATCGACAATCTCTGAAGTGAAGATTGAGGGGCAGTCAGGAGTTATTTTTTTATTTTGTATCTCGGATGATTTTAAGTTTTAGGACACGTTAGGAGCTTTTTTTCGATCTATCAATGGTGGTGTGGATCTGTTTTTTTTAATCTTTTTGGAGATTTTTTTTTCCGATTAATTGTAAGGGTTGTTTAGGAGATTGTCATGGGATCGTTGCTGGAGGTTTTTCTTGCAATACATTTGTAGCAGGTTTTGCTGTGTAGTGTTGTGGTTGAAGGGCCTAGGCCTGGGCCTGTTATAGTAATATACTGCATAGTGTATCTCATGGCATCTCTTATGCCTTTTTAATATATTCTGTCTTTTGACTTTGAAAAAGAAAATTATTGATACAACTATTCTAAATGAAATTTTAATCATTTCTTCTAAAGTTACCAAATCAATCACTTAAGGAAGCTCACACCTCTTGCACAAAATAAAACAACAATGATTTGAAACTTGAATTCTACAATAAACTATTAATGGTTATTTAACATTAGATATAATTAATGTTCATTATAAGTTTTCGTTTTTTCATATCTTCTAACAACTTTCATTTATCAAAGTTCATTTTAATATATATATATATATATATATATATATATATATATATATATATATATATATATATATATATATATATATATATATATATATATATATATATATATATATATATATATATATATATATATATATATATATATATATATATATATATATATATATATATATATATATATATATATATATATATATATATATATATATATATATATATATATATATATATAATGCCTTTTATTTTGATCTATTTAAGAGCCATAACGAGACAATATGTTTAGCAAATATTACAATCTATATGTTCATAAATATTTATAACTACAAACCTTCTTATTAACAGCAACAATGAAAGACACATCACTCGTCAAATTTATTGCAAATATATCTACAAACATAATAATACAAATAACTGTAATACTTATATTATATTACCATGTATCAAATGCATTTAACTGGGAATGTCTACAGTGGCGGAGCCAGAAATATTATAAAGTCTGGGCGAAAAATTAAAGCCTGGAAAAAAAATTTAAAGATCGAAAATTAAACCCGGACAAAAAATTTAAAGACTGAAAATTCACATAGTATATAACAAAAAAAATTGTTTTTGCCCTTTTTTTTTCTTTCACTTTTTGGCCTTTTTTTTGTTTTTTTTTATAAAAAAAAATTGGAGCTTGGGCAGTTGCCCAGGGTGACCATACGGTGAAACCGCCTATGAATGTCTAGGAGCTCAAACCCGTAGAGTTACAATGGAAAACCGTTTTAAGGATGATCATCCAGAATATGATATGAAAAAAGATCCGATGATTGTTCAATGCATCACTAGTAATGTACCGGTAGAATTCAAACTAGATCTAACTTTTACTTGGACTCATTGTGGTGGATTTTGGGATAGAATGTATGTTGGAAATCCACCACTATTCTATGATGAATTTCTACCACAATAACAATTTAATTATGAGACAAACAAAGAAAAGAAGACAAGACAAATATTTCTGCAGAGTTTCTCTCTGCCCACAAACTGTGGAAAATTTTCTTAATCACTTGCAACTGCAAATTCCGTGATTACAATGAATTGACTTACTTGACTTGCTTACAAAAATAGGGGTTATACTCCCTCTATTTATAACCGAGCTTACACCCTAAGCCCAAAGCCCAAAATATCTTTTTGTTACTAAATCAAATCAAATCAAATCTATTCTGGACTTAAATCAAATCTATTTAAATCTAAAATCAAATCAAATCTTCTTTGACACTATGAATTATAATTTAACACACCACCTAATTCATTGTGTCTAAACTGTCTATGTTCATCATGGCTCTTAGCTTTCTGAATACTTCGACTTGCACTCCCTTCGTCATGATGTCTGCAATCTGATTCTCAGTTCTGCAGTGTTCCAAATTCATCTTCCTATCTGCTACCTGCTCTTGAAGATAATGGAATCTCATTTCGATGTGCTTACTTCGACCATGTGCTATTGGGTTCTTTGCCAGATTAATAGCTGACATGCTGTCTATCTTCATGATAATTGCTCCATGATTTTTCCCTGTTATCTCTTCGACCAAGTTCACCATCCAAGTTGCTTGACATGCACAAAGAGAAGCAGCTATGTATTCTGCTTCGCATGATGATAATGCCACTACTGGTTCCTTTCTTGAATTCCAAGCAATTGGTGCACCACCTAACATAAACACATATCCTGCTGTTGATTTTTGATCTTCAGCATCACTACACCAACTCGAATCAGTGTATCCCACTAACTTGCATTCTTTTCCTTTATCAACTGCAGGAAACAAAATGCCATAATCGAAAGTTCCTTTGAGATACCTTAGTATCCTCTTCACTGCTGCTAGATGTGATACCTTTGGCTTCTGCATAAATCTACTTACCATACCTACACTATATGCTAAGTCAGGCCTTGTATGACAAATATATCTTAATGATCCAATAAGTCTTCTGTATTGGGTTGGATCAACATCATCTTCATCTGCATCTTTCGACAGTTGCAGTCTTGGTTCTGCAGGTGTCGAAGTTGAGTTGCATTCTTCCATCTCAAACCTCTTGAGAATTTCTCCTGCATATCTTATTTGATGCATCATCAAACCTCTACTGCTCTTGTAGAATTCAATACCAAGGAAGTATGAAATCTCATCCAAATCAGACATTTCGAATTCCTTACTGAGATCACCTTTGAAGTCTTCGATCTCACTTTTACAGCTACCTGTTATCAACAAATCATCTACATAGATACATAGTATAAGCAATTTACTCTTGCTTCTTCTTACATATACTCCATGTTCAGTTGTGCACTTCACAAATTCCTTCTCCCTTAGAAAACTATCAATTTTCTTATTCCAATCCCTTGGAGCTTGTTTCAATCCATACAGGGCTTTATGTAGCCTGTACACCTTTCTTTCTTCGTCATGTTTCACAAACCCAACTAGTTGTTTAACATAGACTTCTTCATCTAAGGGTCCATTTAGGAATGCACACTTCACGTCCATCTGACATATGTGCCAACTGTTGATTTCTGCTAGACCAACAACTAACCTGATTGTTTCGATCCTAGCAACAGGTGCAACAACTTCGTCGAAGTCTATTCCTTCTTCCTGTAGAAATCCTTTCGCCACAAGTCTTGCTTTGTGTCGAGTTACTTCACCTTTCGAATTCATTTTCACTTTGTATACCCACTTGACATCAATTGCCTTCTTGCCTTGAGGCAATTCGACAATTGACCAAGTGTTGTTGTCTTCGATAGACTTTACTTCTTCGTTCATTGCTTTCACCCACTTCGAATCTTTTAATGCTTCAGCTGCATTAACAGGTTCGACATCTGCATAGAAACCATAATGTACCAGCTCACCTTCATTATATATTACATCATCTGATGTAATCATACAATCTTGCAATCTTGCAGGCATGTGTCTTGTTCTTTGAGGTTTGCTTGTACTTGGTATATCTGCTGGTTCCTCTTGTCGAACTTCTCTTTCGACTTGAGTTTCTGGCTCTTCGAATATGATTCCCACTGAATCTTTCTTGACATTTGCAGTCCATTCCCATTCTTTAAACTCATTTATGATCATGTCCCTGCTGATCACAATCTTCTTGTTCTCTGGATCGAACAACTTGTAGCCTCCTGTCGAATGATATCCAACTAGGATCATTTGATTTGACTTGTCATCAAGTTTTCTTCTCAACTGATCTGGCACATGTCTATGTGCAATAGATCCAAATACCTTCAAATGACTCAAACTAGGCTTCACACCAGACCAACATTCTTCTGGAGTAATTCCTTCTAGCTTCTTTGTAGGACATCTGTTCAAAATGTATGTTGCAGTCGAAACAACTTCACCCCAAAACTCTTTAGGTAAACTCTTGCCTTTTAACATATTTCTCACCATATTCATGATGGTTCGATTTTTCCTTTATGCAATTCCATTTTGTTGTGGAGTATAGGATGGCACCACCTCATGCACAATCCCTTCCTTTTCACATAATTTGTCGAAGTCTTTCGACACATATTCTCCACCACCATCAGTTCTCAAAACTTTGAGCTTTCGACCACTTTGTCTTTCGACCATAGACTTAAACCTGGTAAATACTTCGATCACTTCACTTTTCTTCTTGATCAGGTAAGTCCATAGCTTTCGACTGAAATCATCTATGAATGTAACAAAGTATTTTTTACCTCCCATCGAATCCACCTGGATTGGTCCACATACATCAGAGTATATGACTTCAAGACTAGC